ATATCATTAATAGACTGTTCTAAATTCTTTTGTTTCTCGTAATCTGAGCAACTCTTTATCAATATGCGTAAACGCTTTTAACTGAAGATCTATATATATACATACGTGTGGCGTTTGACAAACAGTCGACTCCAGTGAGCAAGTAATCATGTACGGAGAAGATTTCTACGAAGAACACGATGTGTATACGTGAGAGCACAAGAGAAAACTAAACGTTTAGCTCGTTGATATGGTATCGCAAACGGAACGAAAACTTAAGACGTAAACACGATTTCGTCCTAGGTATAAATATAAATAGGTAGAAATGTTGTTGTATCGTGACTTGGTGTGTAGGGAAGACAGATAATATGTTCATGTAGGTACCAAAAAAAATGTGGTGAAGTAACTTTGACGATTATTTGAAAAAAAAAAATATAATAAAACCTCACCTTGTTTTTTGATTCTACTTTTTCAATGCTTATTACTACTATAACTATTAATACTTATAACTTCACATTTGGTCGGTCGTAAGTCGAATTTCATTTTCAATTATTGAAATCATTGTACTTCGTTACACATCTATTCTAAATGCGATGCTACTGAAAAAGCAAATGGTTTCTCTGCAAATAGATCTCGGGCATTTGGATGGTCTAGTAAGCGAATACGATCGGACACTTAAAGAAGAATAGAAAGAATCTGAAACTTAACAGGTTTATCGGTTTACGATAGGAAAGTCGTGAGACTCGCGTTAAACAATTCTGAGTTGCAGGTAAAACAAATTCCATAAAAAAAAGATGCGTACTTGAAATCGAAAGTGATCTTGATAAACACGCGGTTACCGTTAGGCACTCCTTACTTAAGTGGCGAGCACTGCCATTTCGCACACCACATCTCGATACATCGGTTCGTGGGGGGTTGAGACGAGCTCACGCGAACTATACAACGCAAATTTATACTTGCAAGTATGTCCGCTCGTTTGACTCGTACCGCTCTATCACAGCTCTTGATTGCTAATTTATAAAAATTGCTCGCGGTAGTAATCATAATAAGGATATCAAGCTTTACTTCGGTTGTTGCAATATATATGTTTGCGATCAGCGCGTGCAAATGTCTTCTCGCGTGATACCCTGTTTAGGTGTTCATGAAATAGAAATTTGCGTGCGCAGATATTATTATTGTTAGCGTAATAAATATTCCGCGATATTGTTTTATAATTGTTTGAGTCGCAGTTGTATTTGAAATACATTTCTGTGAAAATTTTATTTAAAGTGGAGTTTCGCATGACATACACACTCTTTACACACAAGTAGTTTTATAAAAATCGCTGCACAGATAATTGTTGGATAATAATTACTTTATTTTAAGATTTAAAATGCAATAAGAACAATATTTTTATGTTGCGTCATACAAAGTTATTCCGTAAAGTTTTGGATGTTATTGTCTCTTCGTCTCTTTTGTTACATAAATTTTTCTATTTGTCTAGTTTGTTACATAAAATTTTCTGATACTAAATGCTTTCGTATTTATGTGTATATTCTTGCATGCAGTTTTGGATGTCGTTGAAATCAGCAAAGCTTCGTCTACAGCGTGTTTTTGAATGAGTAGTTAAACTTGCAGGGAGTGAAGTTTGACCTTTTACAAGGAATTTAATAGTTCCTGTTTCAAGTGTGGGGCCTACACCATTATTTATTGAGTTTTTACTTATTAAAGTTTTTCAATGAGACGGCGCGTGTATAGAGTATGCAGGACCGTCGCGCGCTGTGCTACTTATTGCACTTGTCCCAATTATATTGCTTCTGGTAAAATTTCATTCTACTATGTCACACTAGACAATACTTGAATAAAGAAAAAAAACGCGTAGAAATTACTCAAGTAATTGATTTATTTAAGAAAAGTAATGATACATTGTACATAATTAATGAATACATAAATAAGTAATGTTAATCGTGTTTTTTTACGTTTTTATTATTTACAAAAATAACTCATATACATAAATAGAAGAGTATTTATTATTTAAATTATTTACTTTGTTTAGAAATAAATAAGTAATTCTAATTTAAATTAATCTATTTTTTTAAATAATAAAACCGTAAAAAGACACGATTAACATTAATTAGTTATGTATTCATTAATTTTGTTCAACGTATCACTACTTTTTTGAAATACTTTATGTAGGTGATTAATTTCTACCTGGATTTATTTATTTTTATGTAGTATCTAGTGAGACATAGTAGAATGAAGGTTTCCCAGAAGCAATCGAATCGGGACAAGTGCAAGGAGTAGCTCAACAAGCGACGCTCCTGCATATTACGTATATGCGCTGTCTCATTAAGAAACTTTAATAGGTAAAAACTCGGTATTTAAATAAAATGGTCTAAGCCAAAAATGAATATTAAACTGTTTGTCCAAAATTTTATCTTCTCTTACTCCTTGCACAGTTTACTCATCATTACGGGGCACGGTATATTTAGTACATAAGTTCGGATTCACTAATGTGAATTGAGTCAAATAGACAGATATATTTATTTCGATATACTTATCATAGAGAAACAGTTAATACTACATCCTGCAACAAATAATAAACTTTAATATATATGTGCGATATCACAGTGCGATATCAAAGTGTATGTAGTAAACACTTAATATATTGTATAAATATATATTCCAAATGTATTATATGTGTATATATATATACAGTATGTAAAGTAAGAGCGTGTACGGCATAAATGACAGTTGGCTTCAAATATCGTCCTAGTTTTTTTGTGAGTCGATAGATGGAACCTTTGTCGTGAATGCTTTGTCACAAAAGATTTAGTTAGTGTCGAATTCTTATCTGAGAAACACGTTAACCGCCATGAGTGCCGCATACGCATCGCGCTACGAGGCTGTGTCCGAGTGGAAAGAGCAGTCTGGCATCGTCACACTTGATTGGCCATCGCAATCGCCAGATGCAAATCCCATTGAAAATGTGTGGGCATATCTCAAGCACA